GTGTGGGTGTGTCCCTGCTGCCCCCTGCTAGAGGGGCTGAGCCCTGCTCTGCGTGCGGTGTGGGTGTGTCCCTGCTGCCCCCTGCTGGAGGGGCTCGGCTCTGCACTGCATGGTGTGTGTGTGTCCCTGCTGCCCCCTGCTGGAGGGGATGGGCCTGCTCACGCTCTCTCTCTCTCTCTCTCTCTGTGTGTCCCTGCTGCCCCCTGCTGGAGGGGGTGGGCCCTGCTCTGTGTGTGTGTCCCTGCTGCCCCCTACTGGAGGGGATGGGCCTGCTGTGTGTGTGTGTGTGTCCCCGCTGCCCCCTGCTGGAGGGGATGGGCGCTGCTCTGTCCAGTCTCTCCCCCCTTCCCAGGAGGGCGGCAGCGGTGGGGGTGGGGGGGCCCGTGGGGCCAAGACTCTGACACGGCTCCCTCTTGTCCCTGGCGGCTAGCGGCCTGCGGGTGCGGCTCGGGGAGTACAACCTGGCGGTGCGGGAGGGGCCGGAGCAGGACCGAATCGTGTCTGGCGCCATCCTGCACCCCGGCTACAACCGCTTCACCCTGGACAACGACCTCATGCTGCTCAAGCTGGCGCAACCGATCAACATCGGCCCGACCGCCCGCCCCGTCACGCTGCCCACGGCCTGCGCGGCCACCGGGACCACCTGCCTTATCTCGGGCTGGGGCACGGTCACCACCCCCCAAGGTAGGGCCGGGGCCTGGCCAGGGAGGGACCGGGACCATCAATCGGGAGTGACTCCCTATATGTCTTTGGGGCTGACACCAGGGTGATTCAATCAGGAGTGACCCTGTGCAGGTCTCTGGGACTGATTCAATCCGGTGTCACTCAGGAGTGACCCCGCTGTCATGGTATTTTCCCCAGCCACGTTCCCCAACCTCCTGCAGTGCGGAAACGTCCGGATCGTCTCGCCCCAGAGCTGTCAGGCTTCCTACCCCGGCCGGGTCACCAACAACATGGTGTGCGCGGGCGTCATGGGTGGAGGCATCGACTCCTGCCAGGTGAGGGGGCAGGGCCAGGGAACCTCGGGGGTGGGGGGGGCTTAGCCCACTCCCCTGGGTCTCTGCCATGACCCTGGGAAGGGAGGTCTCAGGGTGGGAGTGGGGATCTGGAGGGGGATGGGGATAGTTGGGGGGAGGGGTGGGCACTGCCCCATGGAGGTGGAGGGAAGTGTGGACTCGGGGCGCATGGGCAGCACCTGTTGGGGGAAGGTCTGGCTCTACCCAATGGAAGGGGAAGGGGCAGGGGGCACACACTGGGGGAGAGGTGGCCTGCCCCACAGTGTGGGGGCAGAGGCGGCCCAGATTCAGAGCCATGGTTTGCCACTTGTCATGGCAAAAGGCAGGATGGGGGTTGGGACCCAGTAGGGAAGGGGAGGAGCTGCGGGGGTGGGGGGCTGGGTTTGCAGAGGGGATTGGAGCCCCACAGATCACACTAGCTCCCCTCAGGGCAGGGGACCATGGACTGGGTCTACCGGTGCCCCTCACTCCCAACCCCCAACCCCCTGCTAGCCCAGCCCTGGGCTCCCCCCAATCCCTCCAGCTCTGCCAGGGCCCCTCACTCCCAACCCACCCAGCCCTGAGCTCCCCCCAATCCCCCCAGCTCTGCCAATGCCCCTCATTCCCAACCCACAGCTCCCCCCAATCCCTCCCCCTCACTCCTAACACACAGCCCCCACTAGCCCAGTCCTGGGCTCCCCCCAATTCCACCAGCTCTGCCAGTGCCCCTCACTCCCAACCCACAGCCCCTGCTATCCCAGCCCTGGGCTCCCCCAGTCCAGTCAAGGGGGGTCATTATGACGCAAGGAGGTGTCTCTCCACAGGGTGACTCCGGTGGGCCCCTGCTCTGCGCTGGGCAGCTCCAGGGCATCGTGTCCTGGGGGCTGCAAACCTGCGCCCAGCCCAACAGGCCCGGCGTCTACACCAAGGTCTGCAACTACGTAGCATGGATCCGCAGAGCCATCCAGACGAATTGAGGACGGTGCCGGGGGGCAGAATCCATAATAAAGCCCAAGCAGCAGGGTCTGTGTCTTGGTGTCTCATCTCTTGGGCCCCTGGGAGTGGTTGGACCCAGTTTCCACTACGCAGAACCTGGCCAACGGCTCCTGTTTCTTCCCACCCTTCAACCAGGCACGTGAGCACCGCCCTTTGGGCCCCAACCAGTGCCTAAAACACCGACATAGCAGGGAAGTTTCTCTCCCTTGGACCTGCAAGCAGCCGGTGCCCCTCACTCCCGACCCGCAGCCCCCTGCTATCCCAGCCCTGGGATCCCCACCAGCGCTGCTGGTGCCCCTCACTCCCGACCCGCAGCCCCCTGCTATCCCAGCTCCGGGATCCCCACCAGCGCTGCCAATGCCCCTCACTCCCGACCCACAGCCCCCTGCTATCCCAGCCCTGAGATCCTCCCCAGCTCTGCCAGTGCCCCTCACTCCCGACCCGCAGCTCCCCGCTACACCAGCTGTTATATGTGTAAACACCCCTTCCAGGTTTGCAGGAACTACAGCTAGTGGGAAAATTATCCCTCCAAAGCTTTTTTTCAAACAAAGACTTTTCTAGCTAAGTCCTTACCTAGCTCCCATCACCTCTTTAATGCATTTAACCTCACCCCGCCCCTAGCTAGCTCCGGCCCCGGGGGTGAGGGGGTTAGCTCAGAAAACTCTGCTGAGATAACTGGTTTTTATTATCAAGTCGGTGGCATACAGGACATACATATTTCTTGAACAATTCGTAAGAAAAAGGGTAAATAAAAAAATTAAAAGCCAGGTCCAGCTTCCACCTGTCATGACCTTAAAGCTGAGCTTCGAACCTCGATCGCAGGCAAATACAAATCAGCGACGAGAGCAGGGTGAGTCCCATGCGCATCTGCATCACAACCGAGCCCATCCCACGAAGTGGCTGCTTTGCCACAGGAAAAGTGAAATATTGGATCACAGACATAAGAGCTGGTTGGGAGAGATTTTTCCCTCCTGCATAAATTTTCAAACTTTCAATTCCCTCCCCTCCATCCAAAAGTAAAGATTTCCAAATTCTTCAAGCAATGAATTTCTGGGCGCAACACTCATTTGAGCTCGCTCCAAACGATTCTGACCTTGGGGTTTTGTCCAATCTCACACACGTATTTCGAAAGAATATGTTGCTTCAAAACGACTAATGAAAATTTTCAAAACGAATAATGAAAAACGTGACCAAACAGGAGATTTTGACGTTTGCAAAACTGCCCTTGGTGTTTTTTTAATCTAAACATTGTGCCCAAAATCGCTACAATTTCGCAAAAAAATTCCGTTTGGGGCAAACCGCATTTTCCAACTGAAAACCATTTAGCAGAAAATTTTCCAACCAGCTCTTAGTTCAGATGGTCATCCAGTCTGACCTCCTGCACAGCGGATGGTGGAGAATGGCCAGCCCAGATCTGGGGGTCGAACTAGAGCCCCCTTAACTCTGCCCACAAATGTCTGCAAATATGTGACACCAAGCTAATGGGAAAGGGTAGCTAGCAAAGTGAGATTCCCACAGGTCTAAACTGGCACTCCCTGTGGAGTTAATCTACACCGCTTGACGATCTGCCAAGTTTAGCTTCCTTCTATAGTTTTTCATTCTCTACCAATCAGACTCAAACACAATTAACTTCAGAGATGGATTTCTTGTCTCCTGCTGAGAAAAATGCAGAGAAGGCTTTTGCTCTACAGGGCGTACATCTTGGAAGCAGCCACGTAGCATAAAACAGAGATAAATGCAAAAGAGATTTTACTTGCAGGCAGAGACAAGCTGGGCCAGGAGCCCCCTTTCAAATCAGCCAGGTGTGATGTTCAAACTCCAGGGAAAGCGTCTGCTAAAAGTCAGCACTGGACGGGAAGCCTAGAAGCTAATAGTGGGAGGGGAAATATACAAGAGTGACTGAACCAAAAATAAAAATGCAGTAGCGCTCTCCAAACCTCTGTTTAGATTCATAGAGCGAGGAGAGAATTTTTGAGATTAAGAAGTTTTCCTGTCCTGATTTGGGATGAAAAACCCAGATCTCGACAATTTTGGCAAGTTGAAAAATACAGAAAAAATTTCAGTTGGGGTCAAAACATTTAATTTCCATGATTTTAAAAAGTGTTGTTTTGAGGTCAGCTCTTTTGAAGCCCACTCTTACTAAAATTTCAAACCAAAAATGTCGACTCAAAACCCCCAAACCTTTTCATGCTGAAGGCGTGGACAATTTCTAAACTTTCTGCCCTCCGATACATTTTCTGCGTCAGGAGATTCTTCCAAACCCAGATTGTGGCGTATCTGGCTTGGTTTGGACAAATCTCCCAACTTGAAAAAGTTTCCGTTTCGATGAGTCTGCATTTTGCAGTGGGGAAAAAACGGTTAGTCCAAAAAACTCCCGACCGGCTCTGCCCTGAGCAAGCGAACGCTGAGATTCTGAAGCTCGTCTTTGTAACGAAGAATCGGTTCGGGCCGATGACAGAGGAAGCCTGGTGCTAAAGCAGGTTTTCAAACCAAGAGAAGTTGTGTGTGTCATGTACAAAGTGAGAATAGTGTATTTCAAATGCAGCTTCCCTCCCCGCCATGTGCCCCAGATACAAACCGTCCCCCATCAGAGGGGTGTAAAAGACAAAAGGCACTTCTTGAAATGCAGGGCCCAGCCACTCAGCTGAGAGAAATCAGCAGCAATGAACACCTTGATACTGACATGCACGCGCTCTAGATCTGTCCCAATTAGCACAGATCTACTGATTACAGCTGGCCAACAGATGGCTCTCTGTGCCCGTCTGCAACTCAACTGCTCTCTCTGCGATCAGTCACTCGCTGCACCAGCCTGCACGCACCAGCCCTATCTGCAATCAATAGCTCCATGCCAATCTGCTACCAACGGCGCTATTTGGTTCACCAGAGCGCTGTTGGGTCACGCCAGCCAAGGGCTAGGACCCCAGACCAGGGGTTCTCAAACTGGGGGTCACGGCTCCTCAGGGGGTCACGAGGTTATTACATGGAGGGTTGTGAGCTGTCAGCCTCCACCCCAAACCCTGCTCCGCCTCCAGCATTTATACTGGTGTTAAATATATACAAAAGTGTTTTGAATTTATAAGGGGGGGCCGGGGAAATCGCACTCAGCGGGAAAGGGGTCACCAATACAAAAGTTTGAGAACTACTGCCCTAGACACTACAGATATTTTGCCGGGCCACTGTTCTCGCGAAGAAGCTGCCCCTCTCCCTTGCCAACACCCAGGGTAATATTTCAGTAGAATAAAGCAAAAAAAAAAAAAACCAAAACAAAACCAACCCACCACCGCCACACCTTTTAAAGCACCGCTGCTGTCAAAACTCAAAGGCACCTGCTCGCAATTGAAAGCCGAGCTGTCTCTGCAATTCCCACCCGCCCCCAGCCGGTTGAAATGGTGACTACACTTAGGACAGATGAGCCGCGCTGATGCCAAGTTGAGGCCGAGGGGTCGTGCGTGGCGCTGGTGCGTCCCAGCGGGGCCGTTTACATTCCCGCGGGAGCCGGAGTGCTGCCTGGGGCCGGAGCTTCTGGGGGATTGTGCAAGTTGGTTTCCTTATACACGAACCAAGCGTTGCCTGCCCACAGAATGAGGTTCAGGAAGCCGATAACCTAAGGGGTCCAAAGGAGGGGGTTAGCTGCAGTATCTAGCTTCCAGGGTCAGCTTCTGGTTCAGCTGGGAGACGCCCTCTCCAGCTCTACATGGACCATTTCTGCCCACCCAGCTTGACCAGCTGCATAGCCCCAGGCCAGAGAACCTTCCCCAGGGATTCCTGCCTGCAGCCCAGATCTGATGGTCGAGCTAGAGTGCCTTAATTCCGCCCCCTTGGATGCGTGACCTTTACTCTGACCCCTTTGTAGATTTCAAACCCAGATGTGGTGGTTGAGCTATGGGTCAATTCCTCTGCGTGACTAAAATTTACTTCTTTCCAGTCTGGATCTGTCTGGCTTCATTCCCCAGCTGTCGACTCCCACTCTGCCTTTGTTGGCTGGATTAAAGAGCCCTCTGCTCCCCAAAATCTCCTCCCCACGGAGGTGCTGTCAGACCGGGATTAAATCCCCTCTGAACATTCTCTGGGAGAAACTAAATAGATCAAGCTCCTTCATTTAACAAGTGTTTATTAGATCATTTATTAGGTGTACTATCGTAGCATATGGGACCCCCAGGCATGGCTAAGACTCCTTGCGCCAGGTGCTGTACAAACAAAACAAAACAGTCTCTGCCCCAGACGCTGCCAGTCTATGGGTTTGGTTACATAGGGACAGTCAGGAAAGTTAATCTGAATTGAGGGCTTGTCCACACACAGAGTTACTTCAGAATAGCAGCTCCTAATGAGATTTTTTTCAATTCACCAGTAATTCAAAAAAGGAGAAAAAACTAACAACATTTTTCAAAATTGCTGGTGAAACCGAAAAGTCGAAAAAAAATGGTGTCGGTCAAACTCACTTTGCTTTAGAAACTTTTTTATTGGGGGTTCTTTAAATAAAACAAACGGATGTTTGGAAACTGAATCTGCTTTTTCTGCCAAAAGAAGTTTCATCTGGAAAATTTCACCCACTGCTACTCCTGAATGGTTTCCCCGGTGGATACTGGTGTGGATTCAGCCAAATCAGGACAAGGCATTCGTACTCCAGAATAACAGCATCCATGCATGGAGTTAATCAGGAATAACTAAGGCTTTAAATTCACACCCAGCCTTAATCCAAATTAAATTTCAAGTGTAGACAAGTCCTCACTGGTGTGAATTTAAAGTGGATTAGTTAAATCACATCTCATTCTGAATTAAAGTGGCCCTAATTGAGTTTAGTTTAAATCACTATGACTTAAGAATGAAGGTGACTTTAATTCAGAATAAGAACATCCATATTTTAACCAGTTCCGAGTTTCCATCAAATCCACAATCTGGTCTCAGACCCACTCTCCTAGATTCATAGATTCTAAGGCCAGAACAAACTCCTGTGATCAGCTAGTCTGGCCTCCAGTCTAAC